TAGATAGCTCATCTCCTGGGGGGGGGGGGGGCAGAATTCAGAGGATGCCTCAGGTGAAATGCTTGTTTTCACTTGCACCGGTCGCCCAGGGGGCCTTTGGCATGGCTGTCCCCAGATGGATCCGTGTGGTTTCACGTGTCCAGGCCGTCCAGAAGAGGGTACTTACGATGGTGGTCCCGCGCTGGAGCCACGCGTTTTCACGTGTCCAGGCCACCCAGACGGGCATCGAGCATGGTTGCCCCGAGCTGGAGCCAAGTGCTTTACGTGTGTGCGGGCCGCCCACGAGGGGTATCTGACATGTTGCCGAATTGGGGCCCCCAGCGTGGGAGCCCACAGGAGGCACACACAATCAATAAAGCGACACCAGGTGTGCGATAACTTGACGCAGTTTCTTGGGCAGATGCTTTTCCATGCTTCCCCTTCTGGTATCTCATATGGTGGCCCCGAGCAGGAGCAAGCGTTTACACGTGTCCAGGCCTTGCAGAGACATATCTGACATGGTAGCCCCTAGCTGGAATCATCTGTTTTCACGTGTCCAGGCCACCCAGAAGGTGCGTATCCAACATGGTGGCCCCGAGCTGGAACCTCGTGTTTTTACGCCCCCAGGCCGCTCAGGGCGGGGGATGTATCCAAGGTTGTTGTTTCTAGCCCCTTGCTGGAACCTTGCGTTTTCATGCGCATATCCAGGCCACCCAGGCATCGAACATGCTAGCCCCGAGCTGGAACCACGTGTTTTCATGTGTCCAGGCCGGTCAGAGAGGGATCTAACATGGTGGCACCGACCTAGAACCACGTGTTTCCACGTGCCCAGGCCACACAGAAGGGGTATCTATCATGGTCGCCCTGAGCTGGAGCCACATGTTTTTACGTGTGCGGGCCACCCGGGGGGGGGGGGATATCTAACATGTGGCCGTTTGGGCGCCACAAGCGTGGGGGCCCACAAGGGCCAGACAACATCAATACATCGACACCAGGTGCGGAAGAACCTGACACACTCCCTTCGGCTGGTGATTTTCCAGATTGCCCACTGGGGTGGCATCTAGTATGGTGGTCCCGAGCTGGAACCATGTGTTTTCATATGTCCAGGCCACCCAGGTGGACATCTAACATGGTGGTCCTGAGCTGGAACCACGTGTTTTCACGTGCCCAGTCCGCCCAGGGCGGTATCTAACATGGTTGCCCTTAGTTGGAACCATGTGTTTTCACGTGTCCAGGTCACCCAAGGGGGTTCCATCATGATGGTCCCGAGCTGAAGTGTCCAGGACACCCAGGGCAGTATCTGACATGGTTATCCCGAGCTGGAACTTGATGTTTCCATTGCCAAGTGTTAGACTCTAATTACAGGCTTACGCCACATCCGCCGACCCCTTTCTGTGAGTGTTGCGAGGCCAGGAGTTTCTGGCCAGCGGCGTCTTGTGTGAGGGTGCGGTGTCGCGCGCGGGTGGTGGCAGATACGTAGGGGGTCCAAATGTTTGCGTGATGCCGGTGGTCTGGGGCGTGTTTTGCGAGCGCTTTGCGTGCTGTGCACCCGGGTGCGGGGTGTCCTTCTGGGAGGTCGGCCTTTCGACCCGCAACCAAGTGGAGGAGCACTGGAAGACGAAAGGAGCAAGAGTAGTGTGTGGAAGCTGTGATCAGCGAAGCATCACAGCGAAAGATGTGGCAGATGAATCGAAACGGGTGAAGAGGCTGTTGACGTTCGCAGCGCGCACGAAACAGTTCGCGCGGCAGCAGCACATTAGCGCCGAGCAAGATAGTGAGCACGTCGCGAGGAAGAGTAAGGTTGTATGCGCGGAGTGCATTGCAGTTGGCGTGACGGCTCGCAATACGGAAGCGTCTGGGGGTCTTTTGGGGGCCTCCTGGGGGCCTCTTGTGGGCTCCTTGGGGCGTCTTGGCGGTTTCTTGAGGGCCGTTGGCGGCCTGTTGGGGCGCTCTTGGGGCCCCCTGGGGCTCGTGGGGGCGGACAGCTAGATTTTTGAATTGTTGGTTGCCCTCTTGGGCCCCTCTTGGTGCCGTCTTGGAGCCTTCTTGGGCCGTTTTGGGGACCTCTTGGGCCGTCTTGGGGCCATATTGGACCGTCGCGGGGCCGTCTTGGGGGCCTCTTGGGCCGTCTTGGGGCGGTTTTCGGGGCCTCTTGGGCCGTCTAGGAGCGTCGGAAAGCCCAGAAGGCGGATGTGTGAACATTGTACGTTTCACGACGGGAATACGTACATGTCTGCGTCCAGGGACCGTCTTGGGACGCATCTTGGGGGCCTCTCAGGGGCGTGTTGGGCCATCTGGAGGCCATTTCGGGTGTCTTCGATCGCTCTTGGACCGTGTGGGACCATGTTGAGCTCTCTTGGAAGCCAGTTGGAGCGCTCTTGGGGCCGTCATCGGGGCTCTCTTGGGCCGTCTTCGGCGCCGCTTGAGCCGTCTTAGCGCCTTGTTGGGCTGTCTTGGGGCCCTCTTGGAGGCTTTTTGGGGCGGTTTTGGGGGCCTCTTGGGCCGTCTTGGAGCGTCGGAAAGCCCGAAAGGCGAATTTGTGAAAAACGCACGCTTTACGAAGGGAACGGGCTAATTTTTGCGTCTAGAGGCCCTCTTGGGACGCATCTTGGATGCCTCTTGGGGCCTCTTGGGGGCATCTTGGGCCGTCAGGAGGCCATCTTCGGTGTCTTTGATCGCTCTTGGGCTGTCTGGGACCATATTGAGCTCTCTTGGAGGCCACTTGGGGCGCTCCTGGAGCGCTCTTGGGGCCCTTTTCGGGGCCCTGTTGGGCCGTCTTGGACGCTTGTTGGGCCGTCTTGGGGCCCTCTTGGGCTATCTTGGGACCCTCTTGGAGGTTTCTTGGGCCGTCTTGGGGCGGTCTTCGGGGCCTCTTGGGCCGTCTTGGAGCGTCGGAAAGCCCAGAAAGCGAATTTGTGATAATTATACGTTTTACGAAGGGAATGTGCCAATTTTTGCGTTTAGGGACCCTCTTGGGACGCATCTTGGAGGCCTCTTGGGGCCTCGTGGGGACCTCTTGGGCCGTCTTGGAGGCCTCTAGGCTCGTCTTGGGACCATCTTGGGCGTGTGGGAGCGCTCGTTTGGCGTCTCGGGGCCCTCGTGGGCCGTCTTGGAGGCCTCTTGGAGCCTTCTGGGCCCGTCTTGATCCCCTTTCGGGCCCAAAAGAGCCCCGTGACGCGCTCGTGCTGGGCCCGGGGGGGGGGGGTCAAATCTCCGGTTTGGGGTCCCTGGGGGGGGGGATTATGGGGGGGGGGAACTATCTCACACGCCTAGAGACCCACAAGGGGTCGGCGGATATCCGTCCATGGGTGGCATGGACACGTAAAACACGTGGGTTCCTGACGCCCCCGAGCGGGACACGCATGAAACGAAACGGGCTCCTACGCCCCAGGGCGGGACGGCGTATGCCTTTCCCCCCTCGGCGCGTCCCTTGGCCCGTCCTCTGTCGCGTTCCTTGGCTTGCCCCCTTGCGTTTTCCCTGCCCGTTCCGTGGCGCGTCCCTTGCCGCGTCCCTTGACACGTCCCTTGGTGCATCCCGTGCATCCCCTAGAGCGCCCCTGGCACATTTTGTGGCGCGCCCATGCGCCCTGTGCCCCGTGTCGTCTCGTCCCGTTTCGGAACTGAGTCGGATCGTAAGCTAGAGCTGATTGAGCGTCCCACACGTTTCGATTGCAACCAGTTCTGGGCCAGGTTTTCGTTCAGACAGCTTGAGCTTAAGATCCACAGCAGTTCGGTCAGGGTTCGGATACCAATGGCGATTTGATCCACAACACAACAGAGCACAACGCAACTCATTGCGAAATGAAACATCTCATTTCAGCACGGCACAGCATGGCACAATTCTTTGAACGGTACATCACGCTCGATGTGTTCAGCATTGCAATTGTCTGCCGCCCAACCATGTGTCTTGAAAACGTAGTCGTGTCGTCGCATTTCTAGATTATATTCTGGGCTCATGTCTCGAGCAAATCAGTGTTGGTTGTCTGTGCATGTTAATGATGTGTGTGTGTGTGTCTGTCGGGAGTCCGCGATTCATGTCTTTAAATATCTTGGCGCATGGTGTACGTTTTTTTGGCGGTTCTGTCTAACATGTATGAACGGTGTATCTAATGGAGCAACGTTTCTGGCGCAGTATGTGTATGTATTGATGTTGATGGGGCTTGTTCTTGAAATACATGTTTGATGCAGGTTCCTTGTGGGTGGCCGGCGTCCGTTATTGCGTCATGATCTTGGTGTGTGATGTCGATGTGTAGGTCTGGTGTGTATTATTGATGCATATATGTTCACGGCGTCTATTATTCACGGCCGCTCTTGGTCGGCCAGGCGGGTCGGACACTTTTCTCTGAACACTTCACCGCCCCAATTTGACGTCTTCGCCGTCATTATCACCATCGCCCTCAAGATCCCCCTCGTCTTCCTTCTGCACTTCTTCCCACCTCTCCTCCTTTCCCTACCTCATCCCCCCTTCCTTCGTCCCTCCGCAGGACAAGAAAGGCCGAGTTAGGAGTAAGAGGAGGAGAAGGAGGAGGAGGAGGAGAAGGAGGCGTAGGATATGGAGGAGGAGTAGGAGTAGGAGTAGAAGGAGGAGGGGGAGGAGGAGGAGGAGGCGGAGGAAGGAGTGGGGCGCATCTGTGCATGTAGGACCGGCCGGCGTTGCTCGCGAGGCCGAGGGGTCCCCTCGAAGGGCGCGGCCCCCCCGCAAGAACCCAGCCCAACCCCGGCCTTCGTTCACGGCCCCCTCCGCGCATGCGTGCTCCTCCTCCTCCTCCTCCTCCTCCTCCTCCTCTCCCCTCCTCCTCCTCCTCCTCCTCCTCCTCCCCCCCCTCTCACTCCTCCTCCTCCTCCCCCTCCTCCTGCTCCTCCCTCCCTCCCTCCCTCCCTCCCTCCCTCCCTCCCTCCCTCCCTGCCTCCCTGCCTCCCTCCTCGTCCCCTGACCTTCCGGGCGGGGGTGCAAGATCGCAGCAGGTTGCGCACCGGCACTCGCTCGTTGCCTCCTCCGCTCGCTCCGTCGCCGCCGCCGGAGCCTCGCGGTTGCGAAGGGACGCGCCGCGCCAGCCCTCCGAGGGCCTGCCGAGCCCTCTCCCCGTCTCTTGGCGCAGGCACGCAGGGGGGGCTGCCAGGCCGAGGAGGAGGAGGATCAGGGTTTCGGGACGCTGTTGGTCTTTCTGTCGGTCCTCCAGGGGCTCCTGCGGTCGCAGTCGGCTCTGCGTCGCAGCCGGCTCTGCTCGGTTGTTGCGTCTTGACTGCGTCGCTGCGCCCTCCCGAGGAGCTTTCGCCCTTCTGGCCTGCTTTTCGACCGGTTTTGGTCTGCTCCGGTTCTGCTGTCGGTCCAGTCCGTCTTCGAGTGTGACGCCGCCGTGGACCCCCTTCCCTTTGGAAGGCGGGATGGGGGTTTTGGACCACCCCCCCTTGCGCCGGACCGGGTGGGGGGGATTTCGGGCACCCCCGCACCTCTCCTTGGCATCGCTCGGACGTGTGCATTTTTTCTCGGCGAGAAACATCGAGGACCATCCTGGACCATCGAGCAAAAAGCACACGCACGAAACCGACAAATGCACGGGAAATGGACGTCCGAGCGACGGCACCTCTCCGTTTTGCGCTGGAGAGGGTCCGGCGGGGGAAACCTCTGTGGGTTAGGCCAGAGGGAGGTGAGCAGAACAGAGTTCCACCGTGAGAGTTTTGCAACGGGGCTATGCTGACGGATGATTTGTTTACACTGGGGTTATGCAGAAAGCTGTTTTCTGTGCATCGGATCATGAAGGAGAAGGCGATATTGAGATCAGCATATGTGCATAGCATAATATTTTGTATCGAAGGACCGTGAACGGCACAGATGTCTATCTTGAAAGGTTTACCAAGGGTGTGCCGAAGAACAGATCGTGTGCATGGGATCATGAAGGTCAAGGGATTCGGAGGACGATGATGAGATCATCAGATGTGCGATCGGGATGTGGAGAAGCACATATCATTTTAATCGAATCGAGAGGGTTGAATGTCTGGGAAGGCGAGGTTAAGGTGAACAGATGTGCGTCGCTTGGTATTGTTTCCCAGCTGTCCTGCGTTGGGTTCTCGTTTTGAATCGGGCACCGCGGTCGCGACCTCCCGCCCCCCTCCCCTTGTCCATTCCGACCTGCCTGCTACCCTGCCTTCTGCCTCGCCGTTCTGCCTGGGGGCTTGCTGGGAGGCTGCGAATTGCAGAACCGTCGCATCGTTCGAGAACTGCCGGGGGGACCAGCGAAGCGACGCCTTACGCAGACCTAAGCTAGACCTCGCCATCCCGAGGGGACTGCGACCCGCAGACCTGTCGCCACTTTCAAGGGCTGCTGTGGGGTCCAGCGGAGTGACGTCCTACGCAAACGTACACTAGACCTCGCCATCCTTGGCGGGTGTTGCGACCAGCGAAGTTGTCACCACTTTCGAGGGCTGCTGGGGTGTCGAGTGGAGTGACGTCTCACGCAGACCTAAACAAAACCTCGCTATCCCTGGGGGGAGGGGGGGAACTACGAACTGCGAAACGATCGCCACCTTCACGGGCTGCTTGGGGGTCCAGCGGAGTGGCGTTTGACGCGGGCTCGGGCTTCATCTCGCCATTGTTGGGGGGCTGCGAACTGCAAAGTTGTGGCCGCTTTCGAGGGCTGCTGGGGGGTCCAGCAAAGTGACGCCTTCCACATACTCATACTAGACCTCGCCACCTCTGTGGGGGGTGCGAATTGCGAAATTGTCGACACTTTCTAGGGCTGCTAGGGGGTCCAGCAGAGTGACGTCTTACGCAGGCGTGAGCTACACCTCGCCCTCCCCGGGGGTTGCGAACTGCGAAACTCTCGCCACTTTCGAGGGCTGCTGGGGTCAGCGGAGTGGCGCCTTACGCAGACCTAACCTAGACCTCGCCATCTTTGGGGGGCTTTGAATTGCGCAGCCATGGAAACGGTCGAGGGCTGCTGGGATCCAGCATAATGAAGCCTTACGCAGACCTAGATTAGACCTCGCCATCCCTGGGGGGCTGCGAACTGCAAAATTGTCGCCACGTTCGCTGGCTGCTGTGGGGTCCAGCGGAGTGTCGCATTACGCAAACCTAGAGTCGACCTCGCCATCTTTGGGCGGCTGCGAACTGGGAATCTGTGATATCGGGGATATGCCTGGGGGGCTGAGGCGATAGTATCAGCAGCGGGTATGCACCGCATGGTACGTTCTTCCAACCCTCCTGTGTTGGGCTCTCGTTTTGAAGCAGCAGAACTGTGATATACACTACGTCTCAGTATCCTCCCTCCTCCTCCTGCCTCCTCCTGCGCTGCTCTAGGGGTGGCTGCGAACTGCGCAACTGTCGCTACTTTCGTGGGCTCTTGGGAGGTCCAGCGGAGTAGGGGAGTACACGCACCCAGCCGAGACCTCGCAGTTCCCTGGACGGTTGCGAACAGACAACTGTCGCCACGTTCGTTGGCTCTTGGGGTGAACGGCGTAAGTAGGGGAGTACGCGTACCCAGCGGAGACCTCGCAGCTCCCTGAGGGCTCCGAATTTCGCAACCCATTTTTCGTGGGCTCATGGGGGGCACTGCGGAGTAGGGGAGTACGTGCACGCATCCGAGACTTCGCAGCTCCCTGGGCAATTGTTGTCACTTTCGTGGGCTCCTGGGAGGCCCAGCGGAGCAGCGGTGTACGTACACCAAGCCCAGACTTCTCAACTCCTTTTCAATGCCTTGGGTGGTTGCGAACTGCGCTATTGTCGCCATTTTCGTGGGCTCATCGGAAGCATGGCGGAGTAGGGGAGTACGCACCCCTTGCCGAGACATCGCAGCTCCTTAGGGGGGCTGCGAACAACCGTCGCCACTTTCGTTGGCCCCTGGGAGACACGATAGAGACGGGGAGTCCGCGCTTCCAGCCGATCCTTCGCAGCTCTTTAGGGGGGCTGCGAATTGCACAGCCGTCGTCACGTTCGCTGGCTCCTGGGAAGCACGGCGGAGTTGGGGAGTCTGTACGCACGCCCAGTCGAACTTAGGGCTAAAACCTTTGTGCTTCGAGCTTAGGATGTCTGGGCGTTAACCCTCAGAGGTTGGGGCCTAGAGCTTACATAGGGTCTAAAGCATGGGATTAGGGTGTTAGGGCTTAGGGCGTATGGCCCACAGCGTTGGGCTTAAGGCTTAGGACCTAGGCTGAGAGCTTAGGGCGTAGGCGTTAGATAGTAGGGGTTTGATTCCGCATGTTCGGGTGGTAGGGTTAAGATGTTAGGGTTCGGGGTTAGGGCGAGGGTGTTAAGCTTACCGTGGTTGGCTTCGGGCGCTATGGTTCGGCTCGGGTGTTATGCGTAGGGTGGTTGTGTTAGGGTGTTAGAGCCAGGGTGTTAGGAGTAGGGTGTTAGGGTTCGAATCAGGATGTTCGGTATTGTTGTGCGGGTCAGGGTGTTACGCTGAGGGTGGTAGGATCGGGTTAGGGCGGCATGTTTCGGAGTAGGGTGCTCGGGCTAGGCAGGAGTAGCGTGTTAGGGGTAGGACGACAGGGTTAGGTCGGTAGGGTTCGGTCTAGGGTGTTAGGGTTAGTGCTTACGGCTCAGGGCGGTAGGGTTCGGGTTAGGATTTTAGGGGTAGGGTGTTGGGATTAGGGCGTTCGGGTGTTCGATGGTGTTAGAGTTAGGACATTCGGGTGTGAGAGTTCGCGTGCTCGGGTTTGGGTGTTGGGCGTAGGGTGTCAGGTCTGGGGGGGTCGGGTTAGGATGTTCGGGTTAGGGTTAGGGCGGTAGGGTTGGGGGGACGGGTTCTGGAGTTAGGGGGGGGGCGTGGCCAAGGGGGGGGGGAGTGGGGGGGGGTCCGATTATCGAATCCAGGAAGGACGGCGGATCGGGAAGGAGGAGGGGAGGTGGAGGTCCCAGGACGACCTTCCTCATTGTGCCACCTTCGTCCACTTCGCACGATGCAGAACACTCGCGCGCCTGCTGCCACTGAGATCAATTCTGTACTCGCTGGCACTCCAGCGTGGGCGGCCTTCATGCTTGTCGGGCCCGCTTACTCGGGAGACCCTCAACACTTTCAGAATCGCACGGCTGGTGGCATTATACCGCCGCAGGGTTGGGCATGATGGTGGGATCTCTCTGACAATGCGTTCTTTGATTTTATGACCGCCCCCAGTGTATCGCAGGGGAAGAAGCACCCATTAATCGATTGATGTTGCGCGCCGAGTGGAGCACGTCCACCGCGTCGACAAATAATATGTTTCGCGTTGCATGCCGAGTGGAACACTTCCACCGCTCTTGCAACAGCTGTTTTGCCACGTGGAATGTGCTTCCGTTGGTCCGCCAAACGGTGGGGTGGAAAGGAGAGGGAATGAGAGGGCATGCTGGGAGGAGGATGCAAGGTTCAGGGCGGTTGGGGTTCATCGCGTAGCATCCGTGGGGACACAGAGGGATGGTACCGCATGCTGGTTAATCATGCTTGATCGAACTCTTTCTGTACTCCGATGCTGTCAACCCCAGACCATCACCACATCTTGCTAGAACCAAGCACGCAGCGCGCGCGTGGATGTAGACTCATTTGCGCTGCGCCCTGCACGGCGACGCGGGTGAGGAGCACGAGGCAGGGTGTGAAGAAAATGACGAGCGAGGACGGGACGCAGGGAGGACGATGGCGACGACGAAGGCGTGGTCGTTGACCTGAACAATGACAATCGGAAGCTGGGCGAGGGCTGGCAAATCCGTGGCTGCTAAAGCGGTCTTCCCAGAATAATGAAAACCCAGAACATAAATTTAGCACACTAAACAGTACTTCTCGGGAGGAGAGCAACAAACTCAATTTCCCAGAGCTCCGATGTAAAAGCCACGGGCTTGCCAGCCTTCGCTTGGATTCTGAGACAACGACGGCGTACGGCGATGCTGACGCCGTTGCCGAGATCGACGATGACAGCGTGGCCTTCGACGACGACGTCGACGGGCGAGGGCGACGCCGCTGCGGACGCCGCTGGCGGCGACGACGCTCTCGCAGGCCCATGGCCCCCAAACGCGGCCGACCCTCAACCGGCTTCACCGCCAACAAGAAGCCAGCGAAGGCCGCCAACAAGAAGCCAGCGAAGGCCCCCGTTTCCTCTCTCCTCCTCCTCCTCCTCCTCCTCCTCCTCCTCCTCCTCCTCCTCCTCCTCCTCCTCCTCCTCCCCTCCCTCCTCTTCTCTCCTCCTGCTGCTCCTCCTCTCTCTCCTCTCTCCTCCTCCTCCTCCTCCTCTCCTCCTCCTCCTCCTCCTCCCTCCTCCTCCTCCTCCTCCTCCCTCTCCTCCTCCTCCTCCTCCTCCTCCTCCTCCTCCTCCTCCTCCTCCTCCTCCCCTCTCCTCCTCTTCCTCCTCCTGCTGCTCTCTCCTCCTCCTCCTCCTCCTCCTCCTCCTCCTCCTTCTCTCCTCCTCCTCATCCTCCTCCTCCTCCTCTCCTCCTCCTCCCCTCCTCCTCCTCCTCCTCCTCCTCCTCCTCTTCCTCCTCCTCTCCTCCTCTTCCTCCTCCTCCTCCTGCTCTCTCCTCCTCCTCTCTCCTCCTCGTCCTCCTCCTCCTCCTCTTCCTCCTCAGATCGCCTACGACCCCGTGGGAAACCGTGCACCCGACCCGCCTGTAGGAGGACACGCCCGACCTAACCCGACTCCTCTCTCGCGCCACGGCCCCCCGCCCCGCCCCCCTGGACGTACGATGTGTGGCCGCACCGTCCCTAGCGCGACGAGCGCGGCCAGGAGACGGCACGGCGAGGAGACTCTGCGGGTCGCTGCGGCCCCCTGGACTGCTCCTCTCTCGAAGCCTCGGGATGACGACCTGAAGGGAGCGATCCATACGGCAAGTTCGTGCAGTGTCGACTGGCCGCGACCCCGCCACCGGCGTTCAGCTTTGAACGCCGCGGGCGAGCCAGAGTCGTTCGATGTGGAGCGATTTGGACGTTTCGGAAACGGCCGATCGTTCAAGGATGAACGATCCCCGCGGTGTCAGGAATCGGGGGGGGACAACCCCCAACAGTGACACGTCGATTAGTGAATTGTCCCTGTTCTGTTCTCAAGAGGGCGCCGCGGCCGTTATTTTCCAGGCTCGCGCCCGCCAGGTTTGGGCCTCGGGTCGTTTTCACTAAACCACGTTTTACTGAAGGGAGGTCTGTCCATCCCCGAAGGAACCAACGCCCGGGTCGGCACGACGCGAATTTGCCGTGCGGAAGGGTGGGCGTCACATCGCAGCACGAGTCCCGTGCGCGGAGGCCGGCAGCCGAAAGGTTGCGGGCTTCCGCGCATGGGGTTCGTGTTAGGTCGGGCGCGGCCCCCATACAGGCGGAGTTTGGAAAGCACGTAAAACATATGCAGAACATGCTCAGACGTAGTCAAACATGATCAAACAAACTTGCCCCCAGATCTTGTTTTTCTTAAAAAACAAAAAATGAATGCCCCTCCTGTAGAGGGACGTGCCAACATATGCAGAACATGTCCAAACGTAGTCAAACATGATGTAATAATTCGCCCCCAGATGTTGCTTGTCTTTAAACAAAAAAAACGAGTGCTCCTCCGGTAGAGGGACGTGCCCGACTGGAGGTTCGTGTGGAAGGGTCATCGGCCCGGCCCGTCGTGCCCGGGACACCTGGACGGGCAGGGGGGGGGCCGGGTGGATGGCTCCGGGGCCTCCGGGGGTTGCCCATGTGATCGTTTTCTTATTAAACCTTTTCGCTCATTCCGCCGGCCCTGGAGCCCTCTTTAGGGCCTCTTGGGGGCCTCTTTGGGCTCTGGGGGGCCTTTTGGGGCAGGAGGGGGGTAGTCGATTGCGCCCCCCCCCCTCGGAGGCCACGATCCTCGTGAGGTGTGTCGAAAAATAGCCCGGTCCGGCATCTCTGACCCGACCTTGCCGGGCCCTCCCGGGTTTTCTTATTCATTGCTTTGCCGATTGGCGCGGGCCCCCAAACCCCCCCCCCCTCCTCCCCCCCCATGGAGTAGATCTTGGCTGCTTCTTTGGGGGGGCGCCTGTTTCGAGCGGGTGGAGTCTCCCCCAGAGGCAGCACTCTTTCAAACAGTCGCGCTAAGCAGAGGTCCAGAGGCAGAACCCCCCCCTTTCCGCCCAATGTCGAAACGCCGAATTAAGAAACGCTCACCATGTGCTCATCTGGCTTTGGGGGGAGGGAACTCAGAGGAGGAACAGGTACACATAATTACCTCTACTCATCCTTCGTTTCCCCCTTTTTGGGCCTCCTGGTAGTCGCTCGTCGCCACCGCCGGATTCGCCTCGAAATTCTGGTCAGAGCGCACCCTAGGATAGGTCTGGGGAGTAGCGGTATCGGTACCTTTTGCTTCCCCCAGGAACGGGTGACAGGAGAGGAGGAGAAAGAGGAGGAGGAGGCAGGAGGAGGAGGAGGAGGAGGAGGAGGAGGAGGAGGGCAGGGAGGAGAGAGTTGGAGGAGTGAGGATGAGGAGAGAGGAGCAGACGGAGAAATAGTAGGGCGAGTGGGAAGGCTGCTTGATTGGAAGACATTCGTGTTGCTGGAAGACATGTTGCAAGGAACAAGTCGTCGAAGCAGATTCCAGGCCACGTGTTCGCTGTGCCCGATGGTTTACCGCGGTCGCCTCCAATTTGGCTAAGACGCATCGTCACTCGCAGTGGACACGACATCGGGGTGCGAACCACTTCTCCTGGGGCTCGCGTGGCAATCTCCCAGCACGGCCGTTGTCAATATCGTTCGAGTCCACGAGTGCTCACATGACACAATGGCCACACTCCACGAGTGAGTGTGTGTGTGTGTGGTGGGGGGGGTGCGCGCGTGTGTATGAGGGTGTGTGTGTGTGCGTGTTTGCGTGTGTGTCTGTGTATGTTTTTGTGTGTGTGCGTGTGCGAAGGTGTGTGTGTGTGTGCGCGTGTGTGCACAGTTTCCCCCACCTGTCTTGTGTAAGCAGAGTAATTACGAGAGAGACAGAGAGAGAAAAAAAAAGAAAGTGAGAGAGAGAGAGAGCAACCGCTACCCCTTCCCACGTGGTGGAAGGATCGGCAGGACTAGGAGGAGCACGCATAATCAATCAACTCTGCAGACCGTAACACTGATCTCTCTCTCTCTCTATATATATATGTATGTACACCGTACGACATCCACCATGTGCGATCGAGGACGATATCGACACATGGAGAGAGGAGCAACATAGTGATAAAGAGAGAGAGAGAGAGAGCGCGACACATATACATATATATATGTATATATATATGTATACACATATTGATGTTGATCGTTACCAGTACTGTTTACATCGTCATCGTTATCCTTGCCACTGTCGGTCGTATGATCGATGTCGTCATCATAGTCGTCATTGTCTTTATTTCTGTTAGCATCGCTCACTCGATGCGGTAGGACACGTCACAAGTTACAGCTTCTTAGGAAACAGACGCGGGAACGTCGATGGGAACGGTCGGCCTCTGGGGGCCTTTACGGAGCCTCGGTTCCGTCAAACATTGTCCAGGATGAGGCGTTGGTCCCGGGGAGAGGTTTGGGATTTCTGGGCACCCCGTATTGAAAACATCACGACGTCGCATGCCTGGGGGTGGGGTCCGAGTAGACGGGGTCGGCGGATCGCGCCGCATCGCCGATGCATCGGCGATGGGGCTCGAAGCGGATAGCGATGTTCTCCACACCCATGTCGCCGATGCATTGACGACGGCGCCGAGGAACTGCCGATGCAGGGCCGAGGCGTCGACGATGCGTCGCCAACGCACCGGCGATGCGGCCAGATCCTCCGACCCCGTCCGGGAGGCCTCTGGTGGCCAGACTCCCGGGCGCCGCGCTTCTGTGCCGCCCTCGGCGCTCGCCGCCCCGCTCGGCCTCGGGCCCACCGGGGCCCCCACGGTCTGGGCTCGGGCGGGCCCCTCTCCCGGAGCGGCCGTGGCGCCCGATGCGTCCTCCACGCCCGCGGGATCTCAGAGACCCCCCCACTGAGAGGAGGAGGGCCGCTTTTGTGCATCCCTCGGCGCTCTCCGCCCGCTCGGTCTGGGCTCGGGCGGGCCCCTCTCCCGGAGCGACCGTGGCGCCCGATGCATCCTCCACGCCCGCAGGAGCTCAGAGGTCCCCCCAGCTGAGAGGAGGGCCGCCCCGAGACACCGCGGCAGTGGGCCCTCGGAGGGCCTCCTCGTCGCCGTGGCTGGACGCAGCGCGGAGGACTGGTGCGCTTAGACCCCGGGAGGGGTCCGGGGACCGATTTTGAGATCGAGCCGGTTTTTTTTTGGATTCGGGCAAGTTTACTTGCATGGCGTTCGCCCCCCCCCCCCCCTCGCCCCTCTTCGAGCGAATACTAGCGTGCAAGTGCCTTTCGACTTGCGTGATTTCCGCGCCCCCCCCCGGGCTTGCTTCAGGCTCAGCCCCCCCCCCCGTCCATGCAAGTAAATTTGTCAGAGTCTAAAAAAAACAGGCTCCCGTGCCTCGAACCGCCGACCACCCTGACTCCGGATCTGTCCTACGTTGGGGAAATTCGTAGGCAGGGCTTGGATTTCCCGCTTTCTTTGTCAAGCCCCGCTGATGCCGAATTCCGCCCTGCCTTTCTGTTGCTGTTTCCGCCCTACTTCTGCGGATTTCCGCCCTGCTGTATGTTGAGTGCAGAAATTCCCGCCCTATTTTTTCGGCTCCTTTTGGGTGGATTTCCGACGCAATCTTGAGTTAGAAAAAAGCCAAAGTAGAGCGGATCTGGATCACCAGCCTCGAACGTATCCCTATCCCTGAGATTGACACACCAAAAGGCGACGACAGTCTTAGGGATGCACCCTCAGAACCTGAGGGAATCCCCAAGATCGCCATCGTGATGAGGCGATGCCGAACATAGGGATAGGGATATGTTCCAGGCTGGTAACTGGAGTCGGGGCAGCCTGTCCCGGACCGATGCTGTTCCGGGTCCGGCCTCGTCTCACGGGATCCGTCGGGCCCGAGGAGTGCCGCAGCAATGGCGTGGTGGGCACATGTGCCGCCACCGCTGCCATAGATATAGGATGGAGGAGGAGAGAGGAGGAGGAGGTCCTCCTCGTCTTTCTCCTCCTCCTCCTCCTCTTCCTCCTCCTCCTCCTCCTCCTCCTCCTCCTCTCCCTCCTCCTCCTCCTCCTCCTCCTCCTCCTCCTCCTCCTCCTCCTCCTCCTCCTCCTCCTCCTCCTCCTCCTCCTCCTCCTCCTCCTCCTCCTCCTCCTCCTCCTCCTCCTCCTCCTCCTCCCTCTCCTACCTATGGTAGTGGTGGTGGATAATGGGCCCATCAAGGTGGGGTCGGCGACTCTGGGCTGTGTTTTTCACCGGTGTGCGAGCCTGGTCGCGGCGTCAGTTCTCGGGGGTTGCCCGGCGCACCTCCTGCCTCAGGCAGTCCACGTCGGCGGCCTTTGCGACGTGGTGGCAAAGTCCCTGGACGCCGATACCGGGCTGGCGGAGGCGCCTCGCGGCCCCCCTTCCTGTCTCCTCCTTCTCTTCCTCGTCCTCCTCGTCCTCCTCTTCCCCCCGCCTGCTGTCTCCTCCTCCTTCCTCTTCCTCCTTCTCGCTGGAATCGACAAGGGAAACCATTTCTGAAGAGGGAGGCAGCTCTGTGCGCTGCCGCCTGAGTCTTGGAAGGTTGAGCTCGTTGCCACAGCGTGGATATTTCATCGCTTAAGTTCGCTCCGCCGTCCCATGTTGCATGACGGTTACGATCTGTTTGTGTGCTCGTGGCGAGCGAGGAGGAGGAGGAGGAGGAGGAGGACGAGGAGAGGAGTTGGAGGACGAGGGGGTATCTCGATTGCTTCTTGGGACACTCTCGGGGCCAGACGGGGTCGTGGGCAAGGCGCCTCTTCAAGAGGCTCGTGGGTGCCTCTCAGGAGGCGGCTGGGAGCCGTCCTGTCGGCACTGGTGCGACATGCAGAGGCTTCTTGGGGGAGCCTTTCTAGGACCTCTGCGGACTCCTGGGCCTATGGAGGGCCTCTTGGAAGCTTGCTGGCGGTCTCCTGGGCCATGCGGATGGCTCGGCATACCAATTCGTATTGCGAAGGCCTTACGGCCGATGCCGCCGACCCTGCAGGCAGCGACGACGAAGACAATGGAGGGAGAGGAGTCCAAGATGCCCTCAGATGGCTCGAAGACGGCGCCGGATGCCTGCAAGGTCGTCCGAAGACAGCTCAAGAGGCCTCCTCGGCATGACAATTCCTATTTCCCCTCGTGGGGTTCTCTTGAAGGACTCTGGAACCCTCTTGGAAGGCCTCTTGGGCCGTCTTGGAGCCCTCTCGGGGCGTCCTGTGGCCGTACATGGAGCCTCTTGGGCTGGCTTGGGGCGGTCTTTGGGGTCTCCTGGAGTCAGTTTAGAGCTCTCCGGGGCCTTGCTGGAGGCCGACCGCGTTGCCACAGCGTGGGCTTGGCGCGTCCAGCGACTTCCGCCTCCTCCCCCGCCCCAAGTAGGCGTCCCGTGCGCTGCTGTCTGGAGCATTGGAGGGCTTAGATCGTCGCCTCAGCGTGCCACGGCGTGGATACTTGTGCGTTCTAACACAAAAAAAAGAAAGTATCCTCCCACTCGTCGGCGGCGGCGAGCGAGGGGGGGAAATGAGAAGGAGAGGGCCTTCTCAGAAGGCGGCGGGACTTCTCTCAGAAGCCCTCCAACCTTGGAGAAGTCTCCGGTGTCTCCGGGGAAGGCTCGGACAACTTTTCAGCAGACCGGGGGACTTTCCGAGCCTTCTGAGAAGGCCTTCTCCTTCTCGCATTCCCCCAGGCTCACCGCCGACCTCCCCTGCCCAGCTGGGAGGAGGAGGGGGAGGAGGAGGGGGAGGGGGAGGGAAGGAGGAGGAGGAGGAAGAGGAGGAGGAGGAGGAGGATGCCCCCTGCTCGCCGTCCTCGTCGCCCTCGCTTCGGGCTCGCACGCGTCGGGTGATGCCCGGGGTGGCCCCGGCCCAGGGCGGCCCTGGCGTGCTCCCACGAGGCCCCCGTTGTTAGCTATATGTATTCAGTCCTGTGCTCTACCTGCCCGAGGCCCGTGTTTGACGTGGCCCAAGGAGCCACACTTTTCTGCACGGCTAGCGAGGCCGTGGTGACAGTTCCATTATAAGATTCATCTAGCTGTGGTGATATATATATATATATATATATATATATCATCGTCGGAACTCTCTGATATTATTGCTGCGCCGATTCCGCCAACATGGCAGCGGAGCCATCGTTCATTAGCCCAAAACATACCCGGACCCGGGGTCAGCTGGGGTGAAAAGGGCCGCCCGCTAGAGCGTTTTCAGCCTTGCCGCCACCTCGTCTGGGTACGGGTCGGTGCCCGAAACAACCATCCATACCCGGACCTAGCTGGGGTGGTGGTTGGGTCACCCCGTCTAGGTACGGGTATGTATGGTGGTTTCGGGAGCCGACCCGGACCCAGGGGGGGTGATGCCCCGAGGGCCCCTTGCCACCCCGTCTGGGTAAGGGTACGGGTATCTTTCGCGCTCGAGAATCGTGGAGACCCACAATCAAGTCAACCGCTGGGTGTGAGACTAACGAGCAGGGAGTGCCGACCTGGAGTGGAGACCCACTAACGTTCGAGAGCTATGAGAACGCTGTTCTGTGGTACCGAGCTGGCTTGAAAGAGAATGAGAGGAACCTCACTGTGGTTCGTCTATGGACTGCGCTACGGCGTGCTGCGAAAGAGGCCGTGAAAGATATGAGACCGAACGATTTCGTGGCAGGAGGTGTAGAAGCGTTGCTCAAGCACCTGAGAGAAGGTCCTCCAGGTAAGATGCCGATCCCAGACGCGTACCAGAACATCCGCAACTACGATCAAGTGGTTCGCCGACCCGGTGAGGTGATTGGCGAGTTTGTGATCAGAGAGGACAACCTGTTCAGAGACATGCGGTCGGCCTTGAAGCGACTACGATCAGACCGACTGCGACGAGAAGCGGCTCAGGCGAGTACGAGAACTGGGCGAACAGCTACATCTACGGTCAAGGAGCCGACGGCCGAGGAGTTCGAAGAGGCTGAGGAGGTCGAGGAAGACGCCGAGGCCGGGGACGCAACAGAGAAGAAGTCTGTGATGTCGGCCAAGCCGGGAGTTTCTATGGCCAAGTCGGAGACCGACGCGAGCTTTTTCGAAGCAGAGCTTCGTGGGTATAGCCTCTTGCACAATGCTCGCTTGAGTAGAGAGGAGCGCCATATGATCCTGACAGGCACTCACAACGACACCCGATACGAGTCCATCGTTACGCAGTTTCGCGCGTCGTGGGATGATCGAGACCTCCGAGACCGCGACAAACCAGCTCAGCAGCAGGGTCGTGGCTTCCGAGGCAGAGTCTTCGCCCTCGAGAGCGGGGAGGAGATGGACGACATGTGTGCGGCGATCCGCGGTGAAGAATCATCGTGGGCAGCCGACTGGAGTTATGATGAGAACGAGCATGTCTGGTGGTGTGCTTTCTATGCGGACGATGGAGATCAAACGACATGGGCCGCCAGTTCTTGGGACTGGTCCAACAACGATGCTGGATGGAACACTACGCCAGACCTGTGGGGACAGGCAACAGCAGTGACATGGACGCCGGATATGACTACGTATGCGACGGACGACGACTCGTACTTGGACGAGCAGGTGAATGCTGTCGAGATCCTTGCCGCCGAGGCGAATCGGACTCTTTCCGAGGCCAGGAGCGCGGTGGCAGAGGCGAGGAAGAACAGAGGGTTCTTTCCGCAGAAGGGCTCTGGCAAGGACGGCAAGAAGGGCGGTTACCAAGTAAAGGGATCATCGGCAGGACCGTCAGGACGAGGTTGCCTGATCTGTGGTCAACCAGACCACTACTGGAGGCAATGCCCCGACCGCTACTCCAGCAAGGGCAAGAGCTTCGCCAGAGGCGGGTCCAAGGGCAAGAGCAAGAAGGGCAAGGTGCACTACATAGGAGGCATATTCTGCATGGACATGATATTGTCTCTTTCGTGCCCGTCTTCAACGGGGATTGTCCTTGACTGCGGAGCGACTACGACAGCTGGAGGTGGTGGCACCGTCGAGAAGTTGGTTCCAGCGGTTGCCGAGAAGTTTCAAGATGCGAGGATCGAGGTGGATGCATCCGACAGGCCCTGGTTCAAGTTTGCGAATGGCCAGTGGGGCCAGGCGCTGTCTAAGGCATGGCTTTTCGCGCCCATCGGCTGGCTGGGCATCTACCTTCTCGACGCTGATGAAGTGCCAGTGCTCGCGGGGGTGGGCCGGCTAGACCAGCGCGACGTCTCCTTTTGTAGGGACGAGCTGGAGATCTACCTCAGCGACGACAAGACCACGAAGGTGCAGCGAAGGGCAAGGGCGGCCACCGTCTGCTGGACGTCCTGAGTTCGGCCAGCAGCTAGGGACAGCCCACCGGAGTTCCGTTCTCCCCGGGACTCACAGGTGCCCAGAGAAAAGAGGGAGCACAGTATCAGGGTATCGGCCTGGGTTGTCTGATGATAGGTGTACGATTACAGTTACAGAATGTTAAACATCAGCGGCGGGAAACAGATTACACTACGCCATGCCATGAAATTAATATGTTGAATCATGTGGCGGGACACAGTCCAGAACCAGACGAACAGGAACTCAGCATATATGTTCGAGAAGATTGGTTTTCTAGAATCTTTAGAACCTTCGATCGCCCTGATGATGCCCGACGTTTTGGGACGTGCTGGCGTAGGACGACGCGTTTACACAGTTCGGTGGTTATTGACGACGGTCCAGTAACGAGTGCAACCCCTTGGAGGTGGCTTTGCCGCCCACTGCCAGATGGGGTCAGTGCGATTCGTACCGAAATTTGGTTTCGTCCAACGCCGACTGCATCATTGGCGTTTCGGCTTCAGGGTATTCGAGATAAGCCCAGTGCTTTTCAATCTTCCATGTTTTGTCCTGATGGGCGACAAGAGGCTCTACCCCGATCTACCATGCGCGGCGGCAGAGCAGACGGACTGGTATCTCAGCAAGGGGGCCGATCCGAGGGATCCTCGCATGACCAGCTGGCCGTGCCAGGGGACCCACACCGCGTCGAGCTACACCAACAACCGCTTCGGGGTGTGGCTGACGTGCGAGACGCGTGCTTTCAGGCTGGACTACGCTCCGAAGAAAGGGTGCAGCGGCAAGTACCGCAAGGAGGCGAAGATGGCCCTGGTCACGGTGGCCCTTCGGCGACTACAGGAGTCGGGCGACGCGCCGACGGCCGCGGGGGTCGAGGGGCACATGAAGGCCATCGAGGCGGAGCGCATCATCGAGACGGGGCACTACATCAAGAGCGATCCGGACAAGGAGGGCTGCCGGACAGCCCGCAAGACAAAGACCGAGGGCGTCAAGCTCGAGATCAAGACCGATCCAGGGAGACCACCGACGGCAACCAGGCCAACTACCGGAGTGCCGACAGCGGTGCGTACTGTGCGCGCGGTCGGAGCGGACCCAAGCGTTGCGGCATCGGATTCAACGCCCCGCAGCA